CGTTGGTATTTTAATTACAATATACTATTTGGTCGTCGGCCTTCCATCTATTAAAAGTGAACAATTGGTCGGTGACATCACGCAGTTTCCGACGTTCTTCAGTATCACCATCTTCGCATTGGAGGCAATCGGCGTGGTACGTACTTTTAAACCTGTTATGCCTTGGCACATTACTGACTTAAATTACAGGTGATGCCTCTTGAAAACAACATGAGGAGACCACAACGGTTTATCGGTCTTACTGGTGTTTTAAATCAAGGCTTGGCGGCAGTTACAATCTTATACATCTTGGTAGGTTTCCTCGGTTACTTGAAGTTCGGAGATGCCACTTTCGCCAATGTGACCTTGAATCTCCCCGAGGAGGACATGTAAGAGTTAGAAGTGCAGCACTTGGTTTTCTCTAAGTCTTTCTATTTATAGCGCCGCTCAGATAGTGCAGATTTTAATCGGTCTAGCAATCTTCGGTACCTTTGGACTGCAATTCTTCATCTGTCTAGAGATTTTATGGAACGGTATCAAGGATCACTTCACGAAATACCCAACAATTGCAAACTACGTACTGAGAACCGTTATGGTTATTGTGGCCGTCTGTATTTCGATAGCAGTACCCACCATCGGTCCATTTATCAGCTTAATCGGTGCCTTGTGTTTCTCATTTCTCGGAATTGTAATCCCAATTCTGATCGAAATTGTCACCTTTTGGGAAAAGGGATTTGGAAAGTACAATTGGAAAATTTACAAGAACGCCTTTGTCGTCATTGTTGGATTATTAGCTCTTATTTTTGGAACAAAGTCCGCGGTCGAAGACATTATAGATCTTTATACCACAAAGCCAGACTCCATGTTCTTTAAAAACCTATTTGACTTGTTCAATGCATCAACTAACGCTTTAGTTCACAACACCAGTGTGCCAATTAATGTAACATCAGGCATTTGAAATGCATTTAATTAATAATTTCATTTTTTTCAAAGCGCAAACATTTCCCTATCCAGTGCTTAATTCATACAAAAAAACTCTTCCTGGCTACACCTTTGCGTTCCTTCAAATGTGCACAATTGAAAACTACTAGAGAAATTAAGTACTGTGATTTATAGGCATTATTTTTTATGCTTCTATTGTACAATTAGGACAATTTTGTAAAATATTTTTGTACGATTTTATTTGTAATGTACGAAAACTTTTAGGCATTTCGTTTAAAAGCGTAATTTTGTCGCTTTTATTGCATTGCTTGCTATGAAATGGCTGTGATGTTACAAACTATTTATCAGAAAAATCTGCACATTATCATTGTAAATATACTTTTTCTACACATTTGTAAGAGAACAGCTCAGATCGAACCCACACGTTTTGTGCCTTTTTTTTCAACGAAAAATGATGCCTGAAAAGTTTTGTATGCATACGTGTGTTTTAGGTATTTTAGATAGGTATAGTAGTTGAAAGAGTAACCAGGGTACATTATTTATTTAATTAATTTTTATAATTGACCTTAACAAAGGGTGACTATTTAATAAGAAATACTTTGTATTGAGATCCGTTGATGTATGTTCCTGTGAAAAGACAATTAAATTTTAAGTTGTGTATTGGTCCAGTATCTAATCGTACAAGGGAAACGAAAAACAACAATACTTTAGAGAAAGTGCAACTAATTCCATCATCTGAGATTTATCTGAGCCATATTCGTTGAGGTGAGTGGAACAGGCCATTAAAAAGGTTAAATCAGTACATTAGAAAACCAAAATGGGAGTGATCAAATCATCAGACGGCAGTGATACATCATCACAGGCGGTAGGGTTTGTATCTCGCCCCTCGTTCAGGGTTTCGAGCCTACAGTTGAATGTCGAACACAATCATGGAATTAGTGTCGTAACTCAATTTTGACTACAGTTTTTTCACCCCCGTGACTGCTTCATTCACGGCGAAAATGTTATTACGAACAACAAGTCAGTACACGCACAAAAAAATGTCCGAATTAGCCCCGTAAGGGGCACCTCTATAACGCATTATGCGGGTTATTCTGTAATTGGGCGAAAGCCTGTTGAGGACCCAGAACAAAAGAGGACGACCTTCTGGGCAAGAACATGTAATTAATACATAAATTAAGCAAACATCACACCAAAACGTAAACGATTTCAAATAAAAAGGTTAACGGTAACAAATATGTGATTCTGCATTACGGTTAAATCAAGTCAATTTCAACAATAAAGATTGAAACTCACAAAAAAAAATATAAAATGCTGCATACAAAACACAAATACGTTATGCAAAGATTACTACCTGCATTAAACAACACAACAAATATTTACGGAACGATGCTTTCGTGATGGCCATTAAAAACAAGATGCCGAACGTAACCCACGTTCGAGCTCTACAGATGGCGCAGACAGCTTTCCCCTCCTGAAAATTGCGTGGTTGCCAACTCTTAAAAATGTGTACATCGTCCTAAGTTGTATATACAGGGTGGAACCTCTCACGTTTTATTAAAGGACGATACATCGAAAAATACCTATTGTTTAAAATTGTGGTCAGCGTAATTTTGCCCCGCATAGTAAGGCTGTTTTAAAGCATAACCAACGTAAGGGAATATCGGCGAGTCGTTGTACAAGTGCACTAGAAATGGAAAAATAAATTGCGATTAATTTGTAATTAGAAAATCAAGTTCAAGCTAATTAAAAACAGGTAGGATAGATTAAGGGGTTAGATCTTCAAGTGTCAAAAACGGAATGAAAATTAAAAAATTCAATTTCAAATTAGTACAATTTCACATCAAAACCTGCAAAAATAACCAAATGTTTCCAAAACGCTACCACCTATACACGCCATTTGTAAATGCCATTGTAAAGGCCAGCGCCTCTAGTGTTAATCTGAATACTGCCTTTCTTTCAAATGTGCGGTGTATTGCCTAATCATAGGGGTGTCGCCTTTGAAACAATTTGTTTTCAGTAAATCATTTTAAGCTTCTTTCAAAATTGAACATCAGTATATTAGGGATCGCCTTCGAAAAATAATAAATGACGATCGACGTGTATTCAAAAGAGAAAGCAGCGTCATCATTAGGTTTGGGAGGTAAAAAACTACTCAAAAATGAAAACAAATCCAGGTATTGGTATTTAAAACAAGTATAAATTCTGCGCAAGTCTTGTGCAGAAATAGCTTTTGTTTTGACATCACCAATGGATATATTTCTTGCAGACGTTTCAATCGCCCTTTGTTAGTACCCTCTTCTGACAATCGATCCGTTCTTGAGGTATAAGGGAATATACGATAATAGGCCGAGGAGGAGGACTATGGTTGGTAGAAATTAATTCCTTTCGTTGATACCTTTCATTCGAGTACCATGAAGGATAAAACTAGTTCCACCCCCCCCCCTCTAGCCCGTACTTTGATACAAGGACTGAAAGAAGGGCAGTAGTTGGTAGAAAACGGTTCCTTTCGTTGAGAACTTTAATTAGAATACAATTAGAGATAAATTTAATTTTTCCAAAACGATACTCTGAATGAACTACGTCCTTGGCATCGAAAAGGCATTGTTTTGGTATTTGATTTACCTCAACATTTTTTTGGATGTGGTGCCGATGTGTCTTCGATTGACTTGGGTGTTCCTTTGTTTCTGGGTCGTAACCATAGCACCATGACGATCACCAGTGACTACTGGCCCGTGTGGCGCACTTCAGTTAAATCTGAACTGTGTTGCTAAAGGGTCTCTGGTTGGGGCATGGATATTTGTAAACGTATAGTGGGTTTGGTTGGTAGAGCAACCTTGGCTGAAACCCCGCCCACTCAAAAATAAACGCAAAAAAAATTAAGAATGTAAACAAAAACTCTTTCTCTCTTAGTGGCATAGTATTGTAGTCAAACCAATAATGACCTTTGACAGAAAATCTTGATCAGATTCAAGCTGTTGTTTCAAAGCACTCGATGTTCTTTTTGATTCAGTCAGAGCCCGAGGAACAAACTTGGAAGGAACTCATTTCATTCCCAAATCTTCTGTTAAAATTCATCACAGCGAGGTCCAAGATTATCCACTACTCTCAGACACTTGATCAATTGTCAGTCGAAAGTCTGCGAGCACAAGCTCTCAAATTTTTTCAACATTTTTGTAAATTCGGGCAGTTGATGTACGTCCAGAATGAAGTTTGACATGTTACCATTTTTAAACTGAGCAACTCATTCGCTCACTTGACTTTTTACCATATGGTCATCCTTGTAGGCAGTTTTTAATACTCAGTTTCAGCAGAAATGCGTACTATGTAAGCTCCGCTCACGGCAATGCTATATTCCGGTTATTTGTGGCTACCCCCTCATAGTAAGAACAGTGGGTTGTCCAATACATAAAACAAAAATTAATCCTAAGTAACTTGACGTAGATCAACCGAAAACAAATATTTCTGGACAATTATCAAAAGTGAGAAAAGTAAGCCAATTTGATTATATTAAGAGTAGGAACTAACTACCAAAGCTACTACATGGTCATCCCACTTACCTTCAAATATAAAGCAAATATCTTTTAAGATTATTAAGGGATGAGCTTTTACATCTTTACTCTCCGAAATGAACAAAACATGGTCTTGACTGGCCATTTATTTAGCCATGTATAGTTGGTCACGGTTTTAATTTAAATGGCAATGATTAAAAAAAGTAGATAAAATTAGTTCATAATACGGCCACAAGATTCAAATAAATTTATACCTCCGTCTGAATAAACTAATAAAATAACTAATCTTTAATAAACATAGTACAAAAAATATTACAAAACTGTGTGCAACTAACTATAAATACATACAATTTTCCGTTTTGCTTAATTTGACAAATCAATTCTCTTGTACCATAATACCGTACCTGATCTGAAGAAATCGCTATAAGCGTTAAAACTTTCTAAAATATTTCCATTATACAGAAAAGGCCCATCTATATTCTTTTTGAACAAAGGAAAAAAATAAATATTAATAAATTACAATTTGCGACCAATAGGTAATCGTAATACTAAGAGAAAAAAAACAACACCGATATACTTTCATTCTATTGAAAACTTTACAGTGCAACGATATTTATATAAACCAGTCTAATGTACAGTATGCAGCGTCACATAGCTGTAGCAATGGACTCCCGCCTCGCATTAAATAAATATTAATTTATTATTTTTTGACAATTAATTGAGATTACATAATTTGCTAGTCACATTTTCTATAACGTAGGTAGTGGTGAAAGAGGCACCGAAATTAAAATAAATTGGTCAGAGTTTTTAAAACAACTGATACATTTATATCTACGTGAGTCTTCCAATCGTATATGTGACCACGCACCACCTATTTCACTAAACATCATTTAGACACTTCGTTTATCGCACGGCACTCGTAGGCCACCCATTATAACTATTATTCGGATAGAGCAATAAAAAAATAAACTTGTCATGACTCAACACTCGCCCTTACTGGCGCTAGAGTTACCGTTACTAGCACGTACAGAAGTGGCCGATAAACCTGAGGTCGAAGCGATGCCGCAATCATCGGCATCGCCGTTTGTAGATTTCGCCGGTTGGGGGATAATGGTAATTTCGTCATTAATTTTTAAAGGTTTCAACACCGACTCGGACTTAGAGGAACCGGTGCTAGAAGCCGGACTGGCGCCTTTCTTATCGACAACTCGCTTTGTTACGACACTATGTGCCGAGTACACGTGATTCTCGAATTGTTTATACATGCCGAATGTTGCTGTACAGACTGTACACTTGTAAGAGAGATGCGCCGGTTTCAAAGTCATATTGTGATCACGACCAACGTGGTTCAGTAGCTTCCATTGATAAACCTACGAAATTTCGTGTCAAAACACAAGGCATTTAAAATGTTGTTCATAACAAGTCACCTTGGAATATTTTGTGTCGACCATTTTGAAAAAGTGAGGTTAAAGGTTCTGTCACAGTGTCACATTAATGTCAAATCAATGTTGCCATTTTAATTTACCGTTTTCCCGCAGTGCAATTGTGCAATGGCCCCTAGAGTATCATCGAAACTTAAAACAATACAACAATTGCAGTTGATTTTAAACAATGCAAAATATTGCTAGAGGGGAGATAAGACGGATTTTATTATTCCAAGTGCATAAAAATAGCCTGAATATATTTTCCGTTTTTTTATGGTTTTTGCGATAAAGCCATGCTTTTTTTACGATTTTAATCCGGACTCTCTCGATGGCCTACATACTTTTACATTTCCAAAACATAAATGGCAACTAAGCATTTAGAAAGGTGACAGGTATTTTTCACCTTATTTAGTGCAGACACAAATGCAATTTTCCCAGGCCAACCCTTATGAAACAAAAATTGTGAAGAAGAGCGTATACTTACTCTGCCACACACAGGACACCTTCCGGCATCTTTACTTCGATTAGCTGCTTCCTGCATACTGGAGGTGACGAGTCCGTGGGAACCTAATAAATGTCTTTCTAATCCTTGATCGGTAAAAAATCTAAATTGGCACTTCTGGCAATTAAGAGGTGGTCTATTGTAGATCATCTTCGGATGAATCTTAACCTTATGGATCCACTGCATATGGTTACGTAACTGTTCCAAATCTTTGATATACCCATCACATATTTCGCAAATGACGAACGAATTCTTCGGATTTGTGTCGCCGGGCTTGTTTACAGTTAATCCCGTCGCGGTTGTACCGCGCGGTAGAGGCGTTATGGATATGCTTGGTTGATTTGTGGTTTTCGTTTTGTTTGTAGCCGCTTGCTGCTGCTAAAGTGAAACGGTTCGTAAGGTACATTTTTGATTTTAAAAATGAAATTAGCACACGGCCAGTTGCACAAAAAAAATTATCCAGGATTATTGTTTAATCCGGTATTAAGACATTTGATTGGCTTTATACTGCAGTATGCAGCCAATCAAATGTCAAAATTCTTGTTTAATCTCGGATTTGGCAAATAATCTAGGATTTTGATTATAATTCGCTTTCCTGCAACCGGCCGTCAGTTGATTAAACACATTCAAAAATTATATTGTCTAAGAAGAAAATAAGAAAATGGACGAGATGATATTTTAATAAGCTGTAACCCTAAAAGGAAAGTCTGTTACTAGAGATCCTGTCAACGATTTGCAGAAAAAGATTATGTAAGAAATCAGATAAATACGAAACGAATTGAGAAAATAATCCATTCTTTACCACAGTGTAAGTACTCAGGGATTGCATTTGTTTGGTTATTGGATAAGGTAACATGTGTTGTTCCTTTTCAAAAGTCATGAGGCGCTTGTCATGAACTCCAGGTGCGTTGACGTTTTGACATTTTTCGATTGCTAACTTTGAAAAATCGCAGCAGCGCTGGAAACTTTTTCAAGACTTTTGGGCGGTCACTCAAAAAATTCCTCTGACTTTAACGATTCAATTATAAAAAAAGAGCACTCACTTATCTTGAATGGGTTCAGAGATATGCATTTTTGAACGGACTGTTGGATCTTCAAAATTTTACAGAAAAATTGACATGTCAAAAACTGTGACAGATGGGTACTTGGATCTTAATTACCTTGAATTTAAAATAAGATTGCGCATTTAAAAAAAAATAAGAAAATTGTACGTTCCTATTTTTAACAAAAATAAGATGACGCCACTTCCGGTATTTACGAAAGCGACGCCATCTTGAAATCATTTTATTTCAATTCGCAATGATCAATTAATGGCTCTAAACCAAATTTCAAGTTTCTATTTCAACTAGGTACAAGTTTAAAAACTTCTAACGAATGGGTTACCTGAATCACCCTGTATATAAAAAACTATCAATTTGTGTTGTTAGTTATGAAATTATAGGGCGTTTGATGATTCAAGCAAGCCATTTTGCACAATTTATTGTTATTGCACCAAAACAAACATTATTAGAAGGGAAGCTATCCGCCACCCTCTGGCAAGGGAGGGTGATCCACCCCTTTATCAAAAAATATGTGGTTGCCTTTTTTGTAGAGCATCTCTCTTATCGATTAGATGTATTTACTTTTGTTCCATCGCCACTCTACCCACTAAAACAAAACCTCAAAGTTGATTAACATTTTGACAAAAACGCCCTTGAGGATGATTTGATTTTGCCAAAACAAGGTAAGATCCCCCACCCCCCTCACTCTCATTGCCCTAGCTGTCTACATCAGAATATTTAATTATACCTATTCATAGACCGCTTTGTTATGACTTAAATCACACTATTTGAAACAAATGATCATCGGTCCAAAACTTCAGTTTGAGTCATTGGTGTAGGAGGCTAATTAAACAGTCTGATTGTAGGCGGCTATGGGAATGAGAGAGCGGAGAGGAGGCATATGACCATACTTAAAGACAAACACACAATACAAAAACCCATTGTTCTAGTATTGGCCTGTGATACAATAAATAATTCATACTGCTGCATTCAAAACATTCACTCCCCGGACAGTCAACTTATCTGCGAACAAAATTGAGCCTTCAGAATTTATAGAGGGGGTGTCTATCTAGTCCTAGTGTCCTAGTAGTATACAAAAGCTACACTGGTCAAATATGTAATATTCAAGCAATTATAGAATTTTGACTTTAATTTACTCAATCTGACAGTACCGGGTGATGGGTCAAGACTGTTTCTCGGCCATATCTCGAGAACTGTTCGTCATATGACTTAGGGGTAAGAAAAATTATTGGGTAAATTGGTCATGAAGAATCGCTGGAAAATATTTTCAAGTTCTAAAAATTACCAACAAAGGGCGTAACTGCCATCTTAAATTTTAAAATTGCATTTTCTTTAAATTTCCCATAAACTAAAAAATTTTTTTTCACATTTTTAAATAGAACCAGTTTATCTATCATTTTCGTAAAAACAAAAACTCACTTATTTCAATAACAAAGATGGTGTGGGGCGTTCAATTGTTTCTGCCAATAACCTGCTTTAACTTCTTAACCGTTTGACCGATTTTAACAAATTTGGTATCGTTGAAAAGAGCATTCCTTGGGCAATGAGAATCAATTTACTTGAATCCTCCGCCAGGGGGCTAGTTTTGACACTCCAAAATCCTAAAAAATTCTTCTAAATGGTGCTATTGATTGTCCTGAAATTCTTAGTTTGGTGGATTTTCATGTTCCTAGGACTACGCGCGTCACTAGAAATATACTAGGCTTCAGAATTAAACAATTTTCGAGCAACATGTCTAGGAATAATCCACTAACAAGAATTTTGTCCGATGCAAACTATTTTTGGAAATTGCAGTGGTGTGATCTATTTAACTCTAATTATCACACTTTTAAAGTTAAAGTCAAACGTAATATTGATTACTAATGATTTTTTTTATTCTTTTGTGTGATTTCTAGTTTTCTACTTTGTATTGTCTTTTAGCGAAGGTTTATTAGGTTATAAAATCAATAAGAACATGTTTTTTTGTGGTATTTATATAATAATAATTATTATTATTATTTTGATTGAGAATGCAGTGTATTTCAGCTGTTTTTAAATATGGAGACTTGCGGTTTTCGCGACCATGGGCCACTTTTTTTTTGTGAACAAACAGAATCAATCTAGTTACGTTTGTTCCTGAGATACAGGGTGAAATCGAAAAGTTTTACTTTTTGAGACGCTATTATACCTTACTACTCATGTAAGATGCCATTTTTATTCATTGGTATTAGTTGCTTTAATTACAATAGATACAATAAATTTTAAAAAAAACATGAATCCATGGCCTACTATTAAAAAACAATAAAAAATAGGCTTTCATGGCTAAACTTCAAAATAAAAACAATTGAGGTTAAGATATACAGAGTGTTGCATTTAAAAAATACCAACATTGGAGCAATCTCAGAAACTGTGGTAAAGTTTTACTACGTCACTGATTTCTACGTAAAAACATCTAAAATATGCAAGTTTTACCTTTTTTATATCTTGCATGGAGTTAAACTTTTCGTTTTCACCCTGTATTGCAGAAACAAACGTAGCTAAATTGATTCTGTTTGTGGTATTACAAGTTTCACAAAAAGTCGCATAGGGTCGCGAAAACCGCAAGTCTCTATCTTTAATAACAGCTGAGATACACTGCAGTCTTAACCGAAACAAGACACAGTGTACATGGTACATCTTTCACGTTGATGCAAAAATACGATTTTTGTGCTGATGCAATAGTAAAATGATACATACGCCAGTCTACAAACCACAATATGAATGCAACGATTACGCCATCTGTGGTCATTAAATTATAAACGCTGTGGTTTGGAGCTAATATAAGATATATTTAAAGCGGCACTATACCCAACACGCCCGCTACACTAACTGTCGGTGGAATTAACGAATTAAGAATGATAGTACAAATTTGAAATATTCCTTTACCCTCCTCTCCATGATATTCTATGAATATACAAGAGATTATGAAGTATGTACAACATATGCAAACTACAGTGACAGTGGTGACAACAGGGAATCTCTTTTTTGATTGGTCGTTGGTTCCGGTCGCCATATTGGGGCTAAATTCCAAACTGGCCAATAGAAAGCCTCCAAAACGACGCAGTACACTCCGTGCGTTACTGTTTTGGCAGTGTCACCTGTAATTGCCACGGCCTCACGTAACTAGTTTACACTTTTGCTTCCTGTATTTGCTTTATATTACTTGTTCCGTCTCCAGAGCATATAGTTGTATTTACGATATTGTAAGGTATGTAATTCGCTTAAAATGTTTTTAGATGTAAAACTGTGCCTAACTCTACTACTGGTAATTGATGTAAAAATTTTTTCAGATGCCCTAAATACCTTAATCAGTTAAGATAGAAAATTGGTTAAAGAAGCAGCTTATCCAAAATTTAGCAGCAAATCTAATTGTGGTTATAGATAACGCAATTGTGATCATAAATACGCTTGAATAATTGGTTTAATGTTTAACATTAATGATTGCTGAAGCACAAGGGATATTGATCTCTTGTACTCCCTGGACTAAATCAACGAGTTTTGTCTTCCATTTAAGAAACACGGGACAAGGGACAAGAAGTGACAGAACACACTGAAATGTCAAACACAATTTAATGATTAATGGTTACCTTTATATGTACATTTTGGATATTGCACCATATTTTATACTTATTATACCGTTTTCTATATATCTTTTTTAATCTGGGAGGTAGTGGGTTTCCCATAGGTTGTTCTGCAAAGCTTTAAACAACTTACTTAAATGAAACTGACATTTATTACTCTATGGTCACAATTTGACATGACACGGTATATTGATCCTACAATCAATCTTTTAGCTCCAATATGGCGGATTATGATAAATTGTCGCCACTGTCCTTAAGTCACTGTAATGCAAACCCTCTCTCATCCCTGTAACTTTGTCAGACTTGGAGGAGGGTATGGGTATAAAATTTTTGTGGGTCTTAGTATGGCCTAATAAGAGTATGGTCTGCTATTCCCGTGAACGAAATCTCGCACAAGTCGCGCATGACGTCACGCGGTTGTGTACACTGAAATATTGTACACGCGCATATGAATAAATATGTGCCAATATTTCGATATTCCATTGCATATGTGATAAATACGATTATATAGCTATATTACTTTATTACAATGGTCCATTGTGTGGTGTCTGGTTGCAATAATAACAATAGAAAAACTAAATACAAGTTAGTATAGATTTCCAAAACATGTTGCTTTTCAGCGGGGTATAATTGTATCGGCATCTGATTGATGGCTACACCTTCACTCAACGATCTAACCGATCGTTAATAGATTTGTATAACGACCTAATAAATAGGT